TTTTGATAATGCAGACGGTCTTACCAAAGGTCCAGAGGGTCCTTTTTGGCCAGCAGCACCTGGGGAACCTTGCTCACCCTGTTTATCAGAACATCATTTAGTTAAATGAGCATAACTTTTACAGAAATTAAACAATTCTGATTGGATAACGGTCATCTCATACCACTGATCCAGGCAACCCTCTTAGACCTTCAGTCCTGGTTTTCCTGGTGGACCCTGTGCCCCCACGGGCCGGTCTTTCCTGGAGGGCCAAGGGCGCCTGAATCGCCCTAGGAATAACAGAAAGATTACAGGAGGAATTGAACCACAGAACGTCTGTCGTATTATTTCTCAATTCTATAGTCTTACCTTGCTTCCTTTCTCTCCTTGACGACCCCTCTGGTCCCCTTGTACCCGCAGGACCCTAAAATATGAGCATTAACACACAATTAGAGTCCAGAAATATGCCTTCTTATAAGATCCTCTATAATATTTATTGTATATCAGATATGTAAACGTAATATTACAACTAGATCAAGATCAAGGTGCTCTTACTCTCTTTCCTGGAGGTCCAGGAGGTCCGTTCTCACCAGTTGGTCCAGGTGAACCCTAAAGTAAATACAACATGTTGATTAAGACCTCATAAGGGCCAGTATGATTAAGGAAGATGTGTGTGGAAAATGATCACTCACAGCTTCTCCTTGTTCTCCGTCCTCTCCTCGGTCGCCCTTTGCACCATCTTGGCCCTGTAAGAGAGGTATAATAGTTGGAACACTGAGCAATGATGAATCATATACTATAATAAGACCAGGAACATGTATGACGAATGTACAAAGGACCTCATTTATGCTGATTTTAAGTATCATGTATTAGTATATAAATGATAATGGCTCTACTCACTCGTGGTCCAACTTCACCAGGCGGGCCTGGATCTCCAGGGAAACCAACAGGACCCTAAAAAAATACAAATATCAGCTGCTGAAGAGTCACAGAAAGACCTATCTCTTGTTCATCACATTTAACACATACAGGGTTTCCTTTGGGTCCATCATCTCCAGTGGGTCCCTTTCCACCAGCAGGACCAGCGGTGCCAGGCTGCCCGGACTCTCCCTTCTCACCACGCTCTCCTCTCGGGCCCTGTCATTGGATGAGCAAACCAATGAAATGTTAGCTGTGATTATATCTAATAAATGAATAAATATAATATGTGTGAGTATTTCTGATAGGCTCAGAGGATGACAAAAATTTGAAATGATCACCATTTTTCCTGGCTCTCCACCAACACCAGGGGGTCCAGATTCACCAGGCTCACCCTGTCAATACAAATAAAACACTCATCAGAACAATCATACAGTTGTCATCCATTCAGAAAGCTGAATTGTTTAATACTTGCCTTCTCTCCTAAGGGACCTGGATTACCCAAACCTCCTGGAGGACCTTGAGGACCCTGCAAAACGAACGATATGCATGAAACAAAATAACACCATTATACAACATTGATATAACATCAGATTGACCAATTTGAATCAAGTATTACAGAGAGTCAATGTATAGTGATTTTAAAACATATAATAATGAATGTTATAGTCCAAATTAACTTACGTCAGCACCATTGGGACCAGCTGGACCACGTGGTCCTGGGGGACCAGGAGGACCCTACAATAATACACAACCAGAGAAGATTAGGAAATACATTCATTCCAATCGTGATTCAAAACACTAGAAGATCATATGCTGCATTATACATAACAACTGCACTTTTTTATTCCCTTAACTCTCTTCAAATCAACATATTAAGACTCACCAATGGCCCAACATCTCCTGTCTCTCCCTTTTCTCCAGATGTGCCTGGCAAACCCTAATGAACATGGATGAAGTATAACTTAAAACTTATAACTGATGCATCCTGTGTGTAAAATTGAATTGGATTTGAATGCCACACCTGTAGTCCAATGGGGCCTGGAGGCCCAGGGAATCCTCTTGTCCCTTCATCTCCCTTAGCGCCAAACGGTCCCTGCTGACCTCTCGCACCGGTCTCACCATCGGCACCCTGAGTAGAGATGAGGAGATTTGAAATGGGATTGATCACAAGCACTTGTTATAAAAACATATTAATGTTACCATGAATTTGTAATCAAGTTTATTTCCATTTCTTTAACATGTAATGTGTGAATATGTAGGATTTTCTTGAAATTCCTTCCAAACTTACAGCTGCGCCAGGCTGTCCAACAGGACCCATTGCCCCAAGTGGACCAGGAGGACCCTGTAAATATCCAAATAATTGATTATAGATCGATATTATGCTCATCAAAACAAGGATTTGTTTTTTTAAGTGAAAGCTAATTTCCTTACGTGTTCTCCTTTGGATCCTTTCCCTCCCTTTTGTCCTGGCTCTCCAACCTCACCCTTTATAAAGATTAATGCAGAATTCATTTTTGATGAGGACATCCATTTGAATGTGATGATTTGAGATCAAGATATGCAGAGGTCACTGACCTTGTCTCCATCCTCTCCAGAAGTACCCGGAGGTCCAGCAGGGCCGGGGAGACCAACTGGACCTTGGATGCCATCGCGACCAGCTGGACCAATCGGACCTTTCTCTCCCTGTAAAACAGGATGATCTTGTGTGATGGGCCTATAAATAAAACTGTATTAGAGATCTGGTCCAAACTTACTGGCACTCCTTTTTCTCCAGAAGCTCCAGGGGGTCCCTGAGGTCCAGGTCGTCCAGGTGGGCCAACGGGACCTGCAGTGCCAGCACCTCCTCTCTCCCAGCTGAGCCCTGCATAGAAATTCAACTAGTTAAAATGCCAACATATGATTTCAGAATTCCTCAAAAATTATAAAAAAAAATGAATAAAAAATTTCAATGTGACATTTCCATAACAAAGCCTTAAGGAATTATCTTAAGCCACTGTAATGCAAAAAACCCCAAAAATGTAATTGATGTAATGTGGAAATTGTTTTATTTGTTGTGATACTTTTCATTCAAGCTCATTTAAATAAGACTTTATGATTAAGAAATTAAGAATTTACGATGCAAATGCAAAACATCTTGTTTTTTTGTCATGCAAAATATAATTTCTTATTTTTCCTGATTATTTTGTGTTAAAATATGAGACATACACCTATTCATGAGTCAGTAGAGAACTGATCAGAATACTCATGATATTTTGATGATCTGTTTAATATGAGCAACATACAGCAGGTCCAGGTGGTCCAGCAGGCCCTTCATTTCCTTTCAGTCCTCCAGTTCCCTGGAGATACACAGGTAGAGCTCAGTTATTAAGTATAAAAACATTTTTTTACAAATTTTACTATCGCAAAATTCACTGGAAGGAATGAGCTGGTCTTATTACCGGAGTTCCTGGCAGTCCTCTTTCTCCTGGGAATCCTCTCAGTCCAGGGGGTCCGTCTTTACCGGGGCCGCCAGATGGACCGGGATCTCCTTTGGTTCCCTCTTTACCAGAGGGCCCAGGAAGGCCTTGCTCACCGGGTGGTCCTGGGGGTCCTGAGTGGCCACGCTCACCCATCTGACCAGTCTCACCAGAGGGACCCTAAACAAGAACTAGATTTGAGTAACGCTTGCGTAGTTCAATACATTTCTCAATTGATTTGAAAGATTTCCAGGTAGAGGTAAAATCCATATTGCCTCTACCTACTACAAAGCAACAATATGGAAGCCTCTACCTCTGATGAAATTACAAAACTCACCTGTGGTCCAACCACTCCTGGTGGCCCAGGTGGTCCAACTTTGCCTTGGAAACCCTACGAATACAATGAAAACGGAAAAATTAATTTTGTTGCACTTATAATCTCATCTTGATCTCAATGAATGTTGACAAAAGATACGTACAACTTCGCCTCTCTGTCCAGGGTGTCCAGGCAGTCCATCTTTCCCCGGGGGTCCCTTCAAAAACCAATCGACATATCAATAAGAAATAGACAAAACTTAAGTGGCAAGCATCAGATCAAACTAATAAACTGTAACTTACAGGAGGTCCCTTTGGCCCAGGGAATCCATTTGCACCTTGAGGTCCGGTTAATCCCTGAAAAAAGAGGAAACATTACTAATAAAATAAAGATGAACTAAAAATCTAAGCTGGTTTTAAAATGTTTAAATAAATACAATTAAATTTTAAATAAACATACTCTCTCTCCAGGTGGTCCAGGAGGCCCGTCACTGCCTGAGCCGCCCTAAAACATCAGAATGAATTGGTTATTTACACGTAATTTAAACATAATTTAATTCATTTTTTGAGAATACATAAATGATGTTCATACCTTAGCACCTGGTTTTCCTGTTGATCCACGGGGACCCCTCTGCCCTCTGGGACCCTAAATTAAAAATTAAACAAAATCCTTAAGCATTGTTGATCTGAAATCAGATATCTGCTTGACCGAACCTAACAAAAAAAAGTTTAATCTACAGTTTCAACATCAAACCATCTCAAATCAAATGAAAACAGAATAAGATAAGAGATGAGATGAGAATTAAAACAGGTCCTTACGGTAGGCCCTCTTAGTCCTCTTGGTCCAAGTTTTCCAATCAAACCCTGGAAAGAACAGAATCAATTCAGATTTTTTTTTATAAAGGAGCATAGCCTATGTGATACTATTTAAATTATTAATGTTTAAAATATAAATGCAGATGTGGCATTGACATCACTCTGACTAATGCTGCTTGTCATTTTTAATAAAATCTTACTCTTGCGCCCTTCTCGCCATTTGCACCAGGGAATCCTGGGAAACCAAGGGAGCCCTAAAAATACAAGCGTTATAAAAAAAAAATGCATAAAATGTAATTAAATACTTAGCTGTACTTTGCATGATGCGTCAAAAACAATATTATTTTTGTTTACCTTAATTCCTTGTCTTCCGGGATAGCCAGGAAGTCCAGGCACACCAAGTTTACCCTGGATTGGAATAATATAGAATGATTTAAGACATCTTTAGACCAGCAATATATCATTACAACAATATATATTACTGTCAAAATCAATAGCAATACAAAAATAGCTAAAATTATATTTAACAGAACAAAATCAGCAATCACCTGTCAATTTATTTAATCAACTAACCTTTTCTCCCAAAACGCCGATAGGTCCAATTTCACCAGGGGGGCCGACACGACCCTTTGGCCCCTCAGGACCGTCCTCTCCTCTCGGGCCGGGCACTCCAACCTCTCCCTGTTAGTCCACAACAAATCTTATTGGGCAGTTGAAATGTGTCAATAGAGTCAAGTGCTTCTACTGTGGGCCTGCCAGCTGAAGCAAGTCTGGACTGCACCAGTTTATATTTGTGCTAAATCACATGCTATTTGATGAGTTTATATCCAAATGTTTTTTGTAAGACGTACCCTCTCTCCCTTCACACCAAAGTCTCCTTTGATTCCAGGGAATCCATCCTCTCCCTGAAAGTAAGAAAAATTTATACCTATAACTTTGGCATAAACAGGTCACAATTACTGAAATTATTATAACCACAAAAAATTTGACTTATGTTTTTGACCAAAAACACTCACCTTCTCTCCTTTGTGGCCCTTCAGCCCACGAATACCTTGAGCTCCCTGTGAATGTCACAAAAAATTCAGTCTTTTCAGTTAATATTCAGGCAAATATTACTGTGCTGAGTCGTACGCAAGAGTGTAGATAACCAAGAGATATTAATAGCTATTACCAAAGTCTAGTACATTAAAAATGTCTATGTTTCTAAAAAAATAACCAAGTTACCAAATGTTAATTAATGATTAGTCTAAATAATATTTACACAGATTTAATTTTCAGAGAAAAATGATCATAACAAAACAACAAAAGCTACCTGCATTAAAAAAAAAGTAGAATAGTTTACCTTGATTCCCCGAGGGCCAGGATAGCCAATAGACCCCTGAGGACCATTAGGACCCTAACAATATATGAACAAGGAAAATAAACATCAAAATATGAACACACTGGAATTTCTGGGAACATGTGCATGTTTGTATATATCCTATAAAAATGAAGTAATGAGATATATTATCTCTTTGTACTGAAGACTAATGTCACTGCTGATTAAACCCAGTGAAAAGTTCACAAATACTAAAAGTACACAAATAGCTGAGGCACAGATGACCTTTAATTTATGAAGGTAAACATAGAATATACTTAGTATTATGATATGGCCTCACCTGATTTCCTTTGGTTCCACCAGGGCCTTCCTTTCCGGGATGACCCTGTGGGACAAACACGTGAAATTCACATAAATTGAAAGTTATTAACACACCAAAGAGCAAAATCAAATCAAATCTAGCACTTACAGGAGGACCGTCAGCTCCGGGCATTCCTGGTAGACCTGGCTTTCCTGTGGGTCCCTGTTAGAAGACAAACAAAATAGCCTTATAATTACATTTAATTCCTTTAAACATAATTGATGAGACCAGCATGAGACTGGACGTGTAAGTATGTTGCATATTTTTATCAAATGCAGACATCAACCTGGTAAAGTGCACATTTTGTAAAGTGCATTCTTTGATTATTAAAATTGATTGCTTTGTGTTCTTCAATCATTAAAAAACACTCACTTTCTCTCCTGGCGGTCCATTATGACCTTGTGGCCCTGGCGTTCCCTGTTGCACAGAGAAGCATTAACTAAATACAATTTACTATGATTTGTACATTTGTCATTAAATTTGTCATAAAGTTCATCGCTCACCTGTGTTCCTGGAGCCCCCTGCTGTCCTGGAGGACCAGGCTCACCTTGGGGTCCCTTAAAAAAGGGAAGAGGACAATTAGAATGAGGACATGTTGATTACATTTTATGAATGTTCATATCTATTACATAAATATGCCAATTATTGCATCATTTTAAACCAAAAATTGGTATCTAGAGTAATGTCAGAGAACTCTGACCATTTACTGACCAAGTTTCCTTTTGGACCATGTGGACCATCATTTCCGCGGACACCCTGGCAAAGGCAGATAAAATGGAGAAATGAAAGAAAGATCGATCTGGATATCCATGTACAAATATTCATTTTTCAAATCTTCAATTTTATGATGGTTTGTTGAAGTTGCTGTGCAAACCTTAGCAATTATAATATTGACACAAAATACTTGTTTTAACACTTTATTAGTATTTGTAGCTTCGGATGAATACTCACGGGAGGACCAGGAAGTCCAGAAGGCCCTTTAGGCCCCAGCAAACCACGGGGCCCCTACAAAATAAGAAAAAGGAACACATAATGAAATCCAAACAAAACACAAATCCTTATGGATTTTAAACTGGATAGCAAATCCATATTATACAGGCCAATACTATCATATACACTGTCATATTTGTGTTCAGTGTCTGAGAAACAGAAACACTCACCGGTTCGCCGGGAAGACCTCTGGGTCCGATGTCTCCATCATCTCCCTGACAACAGTCAAGATGAAATGGGACATTTAAAAAAAAATCAAAACTATTTTTTTTATGCTTTACGACGATGATGATAATAGATATATAACAAAATACAATCAACACACATCAAGAGAATATTTAGACAGCATATATTAATATTCACTATTGTTAATTTATTGTAACAGCACAGAGGTCTAAAAAAAAAAAAAAAAAAGAAAACTCTAGAGAATTACCCTCTCTCCGTCCTCTCCAGGTGGTCCTGGGGTTCCCATTCCTCCAGTCTGACCCTGTAGAAAAAATTAAACATTTTAATATTATACATCCAATAGCTACATAACAAATTCCCGAAGCCGAGATTCCAGAGGCTTATAATCAACATTAATATTGAAGTTTAATTAATAATTCATTAATAATGAATTTCAATGAATTTGAGCCCTTACCCGATAACCCTTGTCTCCAGGCAAACCAGGAAGCCCATCAAAGCCACGGTCACCCTAATATAGAAAAACACGCAGATATATAAACATCTTGTCCAAAATATTCAGTCAAGGTCAACATGATTACATATCAGAGTTGGAAGATATATACAGCTGAAACTAAACACAAAACACAATGAATCCCACACAAAACACAACTTAAAGAAAAATGGCTAAAATATCCAACCTTAATTCCAGACTCTCCTGGCATTCCTCTGGCTCCATCAGCACCAGCACGACCCTGCAGGACACATCACATATATAAACAAACCGGTGCTAACATGGTGTTATGAAGCTCTGGGTAGTTGCCAGGGCGTTACTATGTGGTTTCTAAGGTGTTTTGGGTTGATTACTAACTGCCTTGAGTAAAAAAAAAAAACACTGATAAGTTATTATGATGTTCTGATCCTTAGATAGGGCATGTGTCGATGTAAATCAATGGGTTTGCTTTTTTATTAGTCTGGAACACTGTATTGGACTCACCCTCCGTCCAGATTTACCAGGAGGACCAGATAATCCTTGTTGACCTCTGGGACCCTGCAAAAACACAAAAAGGATGCATGATAAAGGCTATTCTATTTAGTTTTTATGCAAGATATATGAACATTCCTCCGGTCAGAGCATATCAGGATGGCTCAATGTCTGGCAAATGTTCTTGAAGACAAGACTAACTATTATAATAACACAGAAACGCAAATGCAGAACATCTTACCTGAGGACCAGGGTCTCCACCCTCTCCCTTTAAGCCAGGACTTCCAGGTGTTCCCTATTTAAGAACCAGATAAAAATATCACACTGCTTAACACTGATAACGCACTTGGCACAGGACATACAAAACTGTAACAGACATTATATGTATATAATTCTTTATAGTTCTTTTACCAAAGGTCCAGGACGGCCGGTGAAACCCATTGGCCCAGGTGGACCTTTCAAAGCCAACTAGACAGAGGAAAACTCCATTAATTATAAATCAAGATGTATAAAGTTAGACCTCAATGTGAAAAAGCAATTAATAAGTGTTAAATGATTGTTTTATGATAGTTTCAACTAACCCGAGCCTGAGACAGAATGGCTTGAGCTTGCGCCTCCTGTACTGAGGCAACAGGCCCTTTTTCACCAGCACTCTGTCCAAAGCGGAACTGCACGAACAGAAAAGAGGTTTGCAAATCAAGAACCAACTTGGACTATCTTGTGTATGGGAGCTCAGGGGAAGCTGGGTAGGAATAAAGTCACATTTGACACCCTCGACAGTAATGGTATAATGGTGACATCTAGTGGTGAGAGGACTTTATGAACACTAAGAATAAGAAAGAGGACAGAAGACTTACAGGAAGCATGACAGAAGTTCCAGGAGGTCCTGGGACACCATCCGCTCCAGGTAGACCAGCCTTACCAGTAGGACCCTACAGAAACAACCACTTTGATTAATTAAAATGCTTTTAATTATAACTACATACTCTTGACGTGAACTTGAAAAAACGTAGAGAAACAATGAGCAACACAATGTATGTATAATGTTTCAAATGAGCATACTCAAAAAACTAACACAAAAAAATGTCTACACACCCTCTCACCAGGATCACCAACAGAGCCAGGGGGTCCTTGAGGGCCAGCGGGGCCAGGGAGACCCTAATGCAGAGAGAAAATTGCAGAAATTATTGTTTATAAACTACAATTGTGAAATATCATTTTTACCATAACATTTTCTAGCATGAATTAACAAGTAACTTCTGCTAACTCGCACTGGGTCTGCCCCAAGCTTGGGATGGCCCTATGTAGTAAATACTAGGGTGAATTCAGGTTGAGTGGGATACGTTAATGCCATTGAAATGACTGAGGAAAAAGTGTCCAAATCAACCTGATATTCACCCTATATGAGGAGAAGGAAAAATACATTAAAATGCACAATATGGAGACCTAGGAAAGGCAGTTCTACAATTAATTAAAATAAAAAAGGCATAGGAATGGTGGTAATTGATCATAAATTCAGTCAAAACAATAAAAGTAAACATACTGCTGGTCCTTCTGGTCCAGGTGGTCCTTCAATCAGCATACCCTGTGAGATTGAGAGTGGTAAAATTAAGAAATTAAAGACAGAAATATATTTTAAAAAGACGTAAACATGCAATAAATCAAAACGTTATTCTGTAGCGCCCCCTGGTGGTCTGGGTGAATTGCATGTCTTAACAGTAATACTAGTAGTTGTAGTTACAATTTCCAAATGTAAACCTTTATCATAATGGTTTTGGCTAATGATCGAATTATGATGCTTACAGGTTCAAGGACAGCAGGCTCTCCCTTCTCTCCCTTCAGGGCCCGCACGGAGGCCTGAGGAAAACAGATATGTAACCCAAAACAGAGTCCAGTCAATATACAAAAAGAACAAACCAATCGTCCAAGATGTTCAGGTAGCAGCTGAGCATTGTACACCCACCTACATTATAACCCTTGAGTGGTTATGAATGTGACACATAACTTCCCGTAAACCACTGAAACTCCGTGACGGGCAATTTATTTTATAAGGGAGTCCAGTAAATACTTAGCTGACAAAGCATGCTTATAATGCCCGTAATCTGCTGTTGTGAGGCCATCCGTCTAAATGCTGCACATTAGAGACTGAAGTAACCACTACACATGTTTATTTTTGTATTTGCAGATAAAGATCTACAAGTCTACAGCACATTATACATACTGAAACACGTTGGCGCAGAAACACAAACAGTCGGGTGCCTTCCAAGAAGATTACTGTTCAGTGCTGATCAAGATTAAGGCTGGTCTCAGATCAGCATGAGAGAGTCAACCAATATTGATGGAGCAGCAGCTATACTGAACTAAGCACTCTATGCAGACTTGCAGAGGAATCTTGAGCAAAGGGGGCAGTGTTCAAGACTTGAAGACTTGTTAAAAACAATGTTTGCTAACAGGGGAACTATTTCCTGTTAATGAAGTAACTTGCTAACACATCACGCTCTAAGCAAACTTGATTTAGTCTCAGATGAAAAGATACTGCGAATTGGTCAACTCTTTTGGAAACTGAAGGTCTCTTCCAAAACCTAGTGTGATGCCTTGCTGTGTGTACAGCCTACCAATGTTATTATTGTTAAAGGGGTAGCTCACCAAAAAATGAAAATTCTGTCATCATTTACTCAACCTTATATAGTTAGGGTAGGCCTACCAAACATTTGACAGTGCCATTGACTTTCATAGTATTTTTTTCCTACTATTGAAGTCAATGGCTACTGTCTACTGTCTGGTTACTGACATTCTTCAAAATATCTTCTTTTTATTTCAACAGAAGGAAGAAAATCATACAGGTTTGGAACAACATACGGTTAAGTAAATGATGACCGAATTACAATTTTTGTGTGAACTATCCCTTTAAGTAAAATCATTCCCGTTATTTGAAATACAGGTTAATTGAAATTTTAAAAAATATTAGACGAAAAACTTGTCACGGTAGATAACTGAAACAACAGAAATATATATATTTTTTTAAATGATAGAAGTTAATAAATGATACAAAATTACTAAAACTAAATATGAAATGTGTATAATAAAATGTATTTATAATAAAAACGAATTCAAAATATTAATAAATACTATAATAGTATATAAACAATACTAAGATAATACTGCCAACAAAACCCATTTTAACTCACAATTGACAGTTTTACTAACATGTTGCTAAGCAAACAATGTGATACTTTATTAATCATAATATATAATTTGCATACATATTGTCAATATTACTTAGATCATTCATTAAAAAGTTTAATTAGATTATTACTAATCTAACTAACTTAATCATTATCAGTATTTAATCAAATGTACACCTATTTAAAAATCCATATTTCTTAATATCTCAACACATTTGCCAGCATAGATGTCCCAAAGTAAAGATTCTTGAAAAAAAAAAAAAAATACTAGATACAATTTCTGCGTAGGCATAGGTTTTAGAACAGAGCTTAAGTGCTAGACCCCGGCCTGGTTGCATAAAACACTTAGTCTTAATCTAATCTTAATCTTTCTTTACATCTGGTCCTCACTTTTTAAAGTCAGTTGCATAAAACGGTTTAATATAGTGACTATGCAACTGGCCGCAGAACATAAACTAGCACCAGTGCTTAGCTGGTCTTAACAACTGTCTGCTTCTGCTTGATGCCTCTGCAAGACTTAAAGCCATAGCAAATTCAATTTAAGCTTTTATCAAAGCTTTAAATGGAATTTGCAGGAAAGCACAAGATAACTTACACCTCCCTCATCTGTCACAGCGGACAGGGCGGGGCCTAGGGTGTCTTCCGTCTTGCTTTCAGAGATGGGCTCACTGTAGTCTTTGTAGGAATAGTCATACTCCTTCATTCCAAAGTCGCTTGTTATGTACTCCTCAGCGAAGGGCTCGTCTGGCGTTTGAGACACCCCTTCACCACCTGTCTTGGTCGTATCTATTTCCTCCACAGCGACAGTCTCGTCCACCTGGGCCGTACCATTGGGAGCAGAGGTAAGGGTGGGGTGGATGGTTTGGAGAATGGAAGAATATATGGTGTGATGGGGTAGGAATGGAGAGAAGATAGAGAGAAGAAGAAAATGGAGAGGGAAAATGGGAATGAGAGGGCAAAGAATAATCAGAATAATAGATCTTACCTGTCAAACAGATCATGAGAGAGGAACACAGGTTTACACACACACACACACAGCACACAAACTGATCTCAGCAAAAAATTGGTCTCTTTTACCACTTTATTGTTCAGTCCAAAGACCCGTTCACACCAAAAACAATAACTATAAAGATAACTAATCCACACCACGTAATGAAACCTTCAATACTCAAGCTATTTGAAGTTGGGTGGATTCTGATTGGCTATGTTGTTGATTGACAATGTTTTGACAATCATTCATCAACTGGCAAAAATCATTCTAAATTTGATTCCAAAGTTATCGTTTCTCTTTCATTATCGTTGCGCTATGGTGTGGACTTCCCTATTGTTACAGGATTAGAATGTTATGGTGATCCATCTTGATGTGAATGGGCCTTATCCATTTCTTCTCCAACATCATGACTTTGACTAAGCAAAATGTGAGACCATAATTTTGAGCGTTGTGCCTCAATATGAAATTAAAGTCTTTTTTTGTGGCGTATTTGTCCAATATTGTTGTTTTCAAACTAATCTATTGATTTACTGACCACAGAATCACTCAGGCCTATGGAAACACACTTACTTTGAGGCAAAAACTAAAGCACTACTTCCAACTAGTCTCTTACCATTATATTGTTGACTATTTCATTTAACTCTCTGGCCATGTAGATTGTCCATTCCCAAATTATAACTAAACACATTGTTTAAACTTAAATACAAACCTGACCAAAAAGTCCCACTCTAGACGAAAGTATTTAGTTAGGTCTAACTGACCCTACAAAAAAGGCTGTATATAAAGTTAATCAGTTTCTCTGACCTTACTGATTAATAGTGACCGACTCCCAAACATATGTCACTCTTAAAAGAAGCTGTCCAGCAATGAATGCATGGTATTCATTCCATATTTGCACCATTTCTTTTGTGATCTCTGTTTCTCAAGATTTTCCTTCTTATGTCAAGATGATGTCTTGATATAAGAACATGGATAAAATCTTAAAGCAATTGAAATAATAATCACAAAACAAATATTTGATAAAATGGGTGCAATGCATTCATTTTTGCGGTTAAGAACAGCACTGATCATGGCACACGTGGCTGCAGAATTGTTAATTTGTTAAGGTAAAATAACCCCAGGCTGGTCTCACCTCCAGTGTAATGATTTAAAGCAATTAAGAGACTCTTATAGAGACTGTTGACTGCTCCATGTCTCTCAGCTATCTATGGGTGTGGGTTACCTGGTTCATGCTTTCTTCATATCCATTCGGATCACTTTCTGGCTGTGGGGACGCCTCTTCTCCTACTGTGTAATAATAATCGGTCTCTGTGGGGGTGTGGTCAGCCTCTGAGTAAGCAGGATCTACGTCCTGATTGGAGGAGGCCAAGAGGTGGGTGGGGTCGGGGTGGAGGTAAGCAGATTTGAAGGAGAGAGATTGATTAGTATAAAAACAAGCTCATGTCTGATGAACTTGTTACATGCAGAAAGAAGAGATCAATGTGCCTTTGCTGATAGAAGACGACATGTCTTCTGGCAAAAAGCCATTGTTCTCGTGTCATAGCAAAATCAGAATCGGAAACGTTTTGCATCTTGGAATAAACCTTTGCATCGTGAAAGACTTATTTTAATCAACAAGATTTGCTGTCCCAGACAGATTTTCCTTTTCACCTAATTTGCTTTATAAAGCCACATTGCCATGTCAAGCAAAAAAAATATAGTCAAGTTGGGTCAGAACTTGACTTTACAGGTGTTGACGTTAGTGGCAATGGTCAACTGGACCATTGAAACACAACAGACACCATCAATAATCAACTTTTGGGCATTTGTCCTCAATTTCATGGGACAGATCTTCAACAAAGACAGAAAGAGTTGAGTGCAGCATCACAGAGTCAATATTTTGAGTGGTATATTTTCTGTGAAACTGCTTCTCTCATATTTCATTCACAGGACAGCATTTAATAAACAACACATAAAAGAGAAACAGACTGAAATCAGAAAGTGAGATGGAGAAAGAGACTCGTTGTGTCATGTGTAACATTGAGCTCTACCAATGACTCATTAAACTCTGGGATCTTCTGACTATATTTCTCAACTGATCACATGCTCTAATCGGTTTTACCTGGTAAACTACTTTCTACAAACTAACCAGTTAGAGAGTGTAGATTTGGAGTGACAGGAAATATAATGGAAGAGAAACAAAAGACTGTACAAATAGCCATGCGGTGATGACACAGTCTATACCGCTTGTCATATAATGATCACTCGGATCATTTGATATATGAAAGGGTGGAGGAGATCCAAGCGAGTCTGTATGCCTCCAACCTCGCAGCTGGTCATTGTCATGATACCTTTATGGTTTTACACACTGTTTCCTGAATTTTGATTAACCTGATGGAAAGTATAATGGAAAAATCAAGTGAAGATCATAACATTAATCCTGAAAAGTATGCAAAACCTGAAAGGTACGATGTAGGATCGTATTCCAAAAGCACCAGAGGATGTGTTGTATCTGTTATCTTTCAACATTTTCAATGAAGACAAATCCCAGATCAACGTTTCCTCTGAGATAAGAATACAGTCCTGAACCAAGATGACGAGGTTGGAAATACAGCTCTGGACGGCCAACACGGGCTCTTGATTTTGTACCTGTTGATAACCATTGGTGGGTTTCTTCTTGGGGATTTCTGGAGAAGAGATGGTCGTGTCACGCGCAGCCTTGTCGAAGGGTGGGAAATTTTTGGTCTTTGATTTGACGTTATTGACATCCAAGACCCTAGGTTTTGAAGGGAGAGGCAAAGGCGCAGGGGTAGGTTTGAAAACGACAGGTTTTTGAGTGACGGATGCGGTTTTAGAGACTTTCTGAACCTTCTCTACCACAGTTTTGGTTGGTTTAGGCTTCACGGGTGGTGCATTGGCTTTTGTTTTGTCTATCTTGTCTTTGGTTGGTTGTGGTTTGGCGGGCGGTTTAGTTTTTCCCAATTTCTTTGCAGTTGTCTCCGACTCCTTGGTTATTGTTACTTTGGTCACTGCTGCCTTTTCAGCCTTCACTGTTTTTGCACCATTAGTTTTAGCTTCTCCGTTTGCTTTTTTCTCCACATTGCCATTGTTATTGACTTTACCATTGCTGCCAGCCTTAGCCTTACCATTAGCATCTTTCCCATTCCCATTGCTTTTGCCGTTGCCGTTACCATTTACTTTAGCCTGACCATTATTTTTTTTCTCCTCAACCGCCTTTCCATTGGCATTAGCCTTTTTGTTGTTGTCATTCTTTGTGCCCAGAGTTGCTTTTGGTTTGGCTGCTAGTTTAGAAGCCAAAGTAGGTTTTATCTTTGAAATCAATAATTGTGCTGCAGTTGGTTTGCTCTTTGCAGTTTTGACTGATGGAGTTGGTTTGGCTTTAGCTGGTTTAGCAGGTTTTTCTGATTTTGCAGCGGATTTTTTTTGCTTATCGGCTTTGCCGTTGTTCGCCTTGCCCTCCTATTTGATGAATAACGTTTTTATTTATTGAATCATAAAGTGTCGGGTCAGCGTTCATGGAAAGGGAGGGAATGAGAAAGAGATAGAGAGTGGAAGACATCAGGGATGGGGGGGGGGATTGAAAGTAGTGGGGATGGACAGAAAAAGAGAGAGACAACACAATGAATTTAAGATCGCTGGCGCTTGAATGACTGATTGAGATTTCAATGGCATTACTGGATACAGTATAATGTTCAATCAGATTTATTTGTCATGGTTATATAATGAGTTTAGATTTAGTGAACTTCGATCGTACCTAAAGAAAGATAAATGCGATACTGTTTTCTCCAATAATGCCAATCTCCACATTAAAAAAGCAGCATGTTGTGCGCATGGGGATGTAATGCTGAGGCACTGGGGGAAAGTATGCTCAAATAGCATCTGTTGATCAAACTGATGCATGGCTGGTACACTGTGCTGCTCAACGGCACAGAAAGAGTGACAGGAAGTGAGATAGTCATATTACACCATTCATAATCCCGTTGTTAGTATCGAATCATTAAAGAAAACTGTTTTAGACAAAGAACATTAAACTTTGAATACTAATCAATGTGAAAGGAATGAATGGCGTAGACTACCCAGAATAAGATGACAAGCAGAAGCACAAACTGCAGAGAATAAAACAGGCATATTAATTGAAGACTTATCTAGATATAGACATACTGAGCTAGTCGAAGTTATTTACTCACAGTGAAATACAAACTTGCAGGCTAGATACAGACATGACTGTCTACAGGGCAAGAAATACAAGAGTACAATGTTGGCCAAAGTGAAAGTAAACCTAAGAAGTGAAGAGATGGATATGAATAAACACATAGACACAGACGTTCGTTGTTCATAATAACAAATCAGAGTGACACAAGACACAAGAGAACTCACACAACAGGTGAAATGTGAAAACATGCAAATACATGTAAGAATTAAACCAGATTTTAGGAAGAGTAATGCCATGCAACTATGAAGAATGAAAATCAGTAAGTTACAAATTACAATAACCTCATTGACATGCACATGAAATTTGGTCATATACTGAAAATCAGATTGGTTTAAATGACTATAAAAATGACTGAATTGTAGAAATTAACCAGCATATGGACTTTAATCGTAAAATTACATTAAAATAACATAAAAAATTGTCACTGAAAATAGTAAGGTAAATTAGAATTAAACTAGCTAATGCAAATCTCTCTCTCTCTCTATATATATATATCTCAATATCAATTCAGTTCAGATAATAATTTAAATATTAAATTAATATTAAGTCACTACATTTCCTAAATATAACATTTATTTGAGATATAACATACATGGATGTATGAACACTTTACTCTCTGTTTAGTAAATTAGTGTTTCTACCTCTTTCTGCTGGTTTAACACAGTGGGGCCATGATCTGTGTGTGATAGTGTGTGTATGTGTGTGTGTGTGTCTCCAGTGCCCCTTCAAAATCCACATACACACAATCATGTACCGACCAACACAAACATTTTGACACTATACATGTACAAATATATGACAAAGGACAACATGTAGGTGACACAAGCAACATCAATATAGTGTTATAGGTGAGGGGTGAGGTGAAACGAGGTGGCGTTCGGAAAGAAGTGGGACATCACACATGACGATGCAAAACAGGAGTGAACAGAAAGGAGAGGATGAATTTATTCAATTGAAAGAGACGGGTAAGTAACATGACACTTTCTGTGTTCAATTGTGTCATCATCATCATCTATTTGTTTTTTTTTTAAGTTTAAACTTGTAGATTAGACATTTGAGATGTAAATATGAAAATATTTGACACTGACAGGGAGGTTTAAATATATTCTATGTTTTTTTGCACTATACCTGAAACTTTAAGACTACTAATATTTCCTTTAGAAAATGCAAATCAATTTTTTTTTTTCATAACTCATGCCATCTCTTCCTCTCTTTTCCGATTCACTCCATTTTCACGCTCCCTCTTTACCTGTTCAGTGAGGGTCCCGGGTGTGACGGAGGGAGGGACGGATTGGGAGAGAGGGACACTCGTAGTTCCTTCATAATAATAGGGGTATTCATAATCATCCCGCTCTTCATCAAAGTACTGAGAGACATGGGGGGAGAGAGACGAGGAGTGAAGCCAGAGGAATGCAGGGAAGGAGAGAGAGGGCATGTGAGTGACAGTAAGAGAATGTAGCAAATGACAAGAGTGAACAAAGAAGACTTTGGAAAGAGAAAACAATATGAGAGGAGAGAAAAGTAATGGATGAGTAAAGTAAGATGTAGGAACTAGAAACGAGGGTCTTAGCAAGGGCAGGATGAAAGTATCATTTGTTCATCAGACTCATGGGTTTGAGAAGCAATTACTGCAAAACACAATGAGAACTTCAATGAACGAAAAAAAACATTCATCTGAAAAGCTAACATGAAAGAACACTGTAAGAAGAAATAAAGCTATTGTATGCAGTTTCAGCATTTAGAGTGAAATGGTTATTGGAATAAAGCACCTTTGATGATGTGTAAGAGCTGTGGATGTATGAAAATGCATTGTAGGGAAGTCATGTGGATATCTGACTCAAATCAGGGGCTCTATATACTGTATGTGTAATATAATGATAATGTGCTATGAAACATAATCTAGAATTGTATGCATTATTGTCAGAACATGAATAATTAGCTGGCATTCTGATGTGAGATTTTGCTACATTTACAATTTTTTTGTCCCATATTTATCCATGCATTTATTGAAAGTCCAATCCAAGTCAAAAATACAGGTGCAGATTTCAAACGGCATGATTATTTGGTAGCTTTTTTGAAAAAACAAAAACATTAAGCATACATTTGGTGACTAATACAAATATGATGCATTGAGAAGAGTTGCATTAACATACGTTAAACTAACCATCAAACACTTGCTACTAGTGAAACTCCATCTGTATATATCTCACATCAGGACGCTTTACCCCATTTTAAAAACGTGCTGTGGTACTCACGTAGGTGTTTGGGTCCTGGGACTGGACTTTGGGCAGAGGGGAGTCACAGTCAGGGCTGTAGTGCTCGCAGAAGTCAAAGGCGGCCTGAGGGTTGGATGCGATCAGCAGTTGCTGGATCTCACCCTGGAGAGAAGCAAAGAAAAAGAGGCGATGTCAGTTTGCTGTCTGGAACCTGGGGTCAAAATCAGGCCTACTGGGATAGTACGGCATTTAATATGAGCAAGATTCATTAATTGAGAAATTAGCAGTATGAAATTAAAGGGGACCTATAATGCCATTTTTTGTTTTGGGGTTCTACTATAATAGGTTTGTTGCAGCTGTCAGTAACGCTCTGTTTAGTTCCGGTCTCAATGAAGCCCCTCCTTCTGAAAAGAGCAATGTGCTCTGATTGGTCGGCTGGACCAGTATGTTGTGATTGGTGAACCTCTTCGAGTGCGTTTTAGAATAGTCAGAACTGTTTAAAATGTGATTCCCTGAATATGTCATATAAGTATAAAGTCAACATAAAATTACATTTGCAACCCATCTAATGTCCATAATGTGACATATTTTAGAAAAAAATAAAGAAAAAAGACAGAAACTGCTTAGACTAGTCTTATAAGTTAGTCATTAATATTTTCAGTCATCAATATACCAAAAAGTAAGACTGATTAGCCCTAACTAGGTGTGTAACATATTGTGTCACAATATATCGCAATACAAAAAAAATGCAACAATATGGATCATGGATAGTGAAAATATGTATTGTGTATATTTCACCCAAAATAAAAAATACTGTATGAGAAAAGTTGAGTTTTAGTGTCAGTACTACATTAAACTACTAAATATAATGTTGAATATAATGTATAATAATACAATCTGGGAATATTTTGTGGGTCTGACTCCTGATAATGCCAAATATCTTATGTTACCAGTAGAAAGTGGCAACAGTGACAAAGAGCAAGCATATTTGTCTAAAATTATTCTGTATTTTCAGCTTCAGAATCATGAATATTTTTATTTTGGTATCACCATTGTCCTGTGCTTTGGGTTTCAGCACCAAGTCCAAGCCTATTCATTTACACCAACAGTGTAATATCAAATTTAGCATTTTAATCAACTGTATTTTTTGTTAACCTTTTACCATATGTCTTGAAGTATCGCAATAATATCGTATCGTGAGTTCAATATCGTGATATGTGTCGAATTGTGACATGTGTCTCGGGTATCGTTACACCCCTAGCCCTAAGTTATTGCTAGTTAAAACTCCTTTTTAAGACTCAGAAGTTATGTTCATGTAACTGGTCCCAGAATGTGCATTAAAATAGTAAATAAGGTCAGATTTTATTTCAAGGTGACTTTAAACAATTATTCAGTTGCCTATAATATCACTATAAATTGTAGTTCATTTCGTTCATTAAAAAAATGGCTTAGTTATTTGTTATTGATCAATCACAAAGTGTGTATCACAGAATTCCTTAATATCTCATTGCACAGGTGTACCAGACCTGGAAGACCTCCTCATCCAGGAGACGGGCTCCAAAGACAGTGATGCCCTTGGTGTCCAAGACTGGGTTGTTGCTACGCGGCAGAGCTTTGGTTATACGATTCTTGCAGTCAAGGATCAGAGTGATGTTCTTCTTCTGCACAGAAATGGCTATGCGGTGCCACCTATAGGATGAGATCAGATCAGACATTGAAGGTTTTAATGAGAATGAACCGGGCAGACAGTCACAAAGGAGATGCTGTATTAGTTTGTGCAGAAAAATACTTTAAGGAACAGTTACACATCGCACAATATCTATAAGATATCTGAAACTGTTATAGACACAGATGGGCTGATGGGGCTCGGCAGGGGTTGGTTACTGACTTGCCGTCAGCCAGGTTGACCCCTTTGAACAGTGGGTAGTCCTCTGGGGCGGGTTTGCGATTCTGGTCCTCATACAGGAAGATGGGTGAGCGTCCCAACTCTAGACCGAGCTGCTGTACACCCTGCTCATTGTAGATGGACAGCAGGAAGGCTTGAAGACCAGCCTTGGCCTTCACCAGAGTCATAATAGAGAAGTTCTCTGGGAAACGTCCTACGGGAAAGAAAAAAAAATTGATACATGACGATTTGAGCTTATTTCAAGCACAGATTCATTTGCAGTCTGGGTGAAACCTGTGATTCATGACTCAACTTGCATAAATTGTACTCATTTCACTGACACTAACATTCAGATTTAGTGTTATCTATGCAACCGTCTCATTAGCCACTAAAAAGCACTCATCCTGCTTTAGAGGAGTAATTGCATGTTAGCGTCCCAAATGATTTTTACCCAGACCCATTAATCTTTCTAAGCATGACAAAACAACATCAATGTCTGAGAATAAATCTGTCACAAAACAATAAACAAATATGAATTGCAAACCAAATACCCAGCTGAAAAATGATTTCCCACATAATATAATATATAAATAATATTCGTTCCAAATAATCAATTATATTTATACAAACATCTAAAAATTATTCAGTCTTTAGTCAGTTTTTACAAGTCTTAAGACTTTCCTGTAAAAAAATATTGTTGGTTTAACTTAAAAAAAAGTAACCTGGTTGCCTTAAAATTTTAAGTTCATTGAAATGAAAAAATTGAGTTAATACAATGAAGGAGATTGATTTAATCATCAGAAACTCAAAATATTATGTAATCTGAACTACATAAATTATCTAAGTTGATTTGACAAACGAAAATATGTTGTGATAACAAATCATGAAAATATTTTTTTACAATGTAACATTTCAAGCCTTTCAATTATGAGCAATCTTTCACTCAAATCATAGCCTTGTCTCTCTTAAATTCATTCATATTCCAGACACATACTGAAATACCACTTTACATATCACTATAAGTGTATACAATTGTGTCAAAATATTGTTGGTTTAACTAAAAAAATTAAGTAACCTGTCTGCCTTAAAAATTTAAGTTTATTAAAATGAAAAAATTGAGTTGAATGAAGGAGATTGATTTAATCATCAGAAACGCAAAATGTTATGTTATCTGAACCACATAAATTATTTAAGTTGATTTGACAAAAGAACAAATGTTGTGATTACAAATCATGAACATAGTTTTTTTTTTTTTTTACCGTGTATGAGATATTAAAGAAATGTACCTGAGAATAGTTGTTTGGTGGGGGCAGAGATCTGGGCTTTCTTATTGATGCGGTAGGCATGATCAGGAGTGCCGGCCCGACGGGAGGTACAGAAACCCGGAACCTTCTGCACACCTTCGGGGAGGGAAGGCAACTGCAGCGCCCGCAAAACATCTATCGGATCTGCAGGAGTGAAAGAGTTTTTAGATTCAAGATTCAAAGAGAACACCAACAGCACACATTATTTTAGTCTGAGCTTTGCAAATAACACTACTTTATATTTAAACATGCGCATGTTTCTACAAAAAAATACACAGCTCAAAATATTTCCCATAATGCATTTGGAAAGTGGCGTTCAGACAGATGTTGAATCCTTCAAAAGGCCCCACACACAGACAGGCTTTAAAATTTGATGTCTGTTTCCATCTTCTTATTGCTCTTGGCAGCTTTGTTGCTCTATATGGGATTCATGTGAATCCCGATGCCATCTGCTCGAACCACAATGTGTACTACATTATTAACTGTCTAAAACTATGTTAAACTCTCTAACAAGACTTAATGCTTTTGCAACACGTATTTGAGGTTAAACATGTTTGGCTCTGTTCCCTCCATACACTCAATGACAAATCCTTTATTTCCTTTCATTTTAGTGCTGGTACTTTCCTCTAAAGCTCTGCCAGTATTTTGGTCCCTATAACCACACTGACCAAAATATGGTGTGTGTAGTAACCACAATGGGTAGTTTTGTCATTTTATATTCATCAACAAGCATATTCATATTATAGACTGAAAATCTACTTATGTAAACTAATTAGAATTTGTGTACACAGTTAGCCATACAAAGACAGATATTCATAAGAGGAAAATAGGCTAGAGAAAAGTAGTGGAGATTATTCAATTAAATACTGTGGAAACAGTCTGAAAGAGGTTCAAGAGTGCAGGAAAACCCAATGGGACTTCTAACTAAAACGCAATGCTTCCTTGATTCTCAAAAGGTGAACCTATTTAAATGCTGGGAGAAAGAGATGAACAAGTAAGAGAAAGTCTCTGGGTCACTGTATCGGTTTCCAGAAGAGACAACATATACAATGTGTGCCAGTGTTTGAGAGCTGAACCACAGCACTATATGTCATTCTTGGCTAAATCCGATTAAATGTAGGACAAGCCCAAAAAACATTTCCCAAATACACACTATAAAAAAAAATATTGTTGGTTTAACTTAAAAAATTAAGTAACCTGTCTGCCTTAAAACTTTAAGTTCATTGAAATGGAAAAATTGAGTTAATACAATGAAGGAGATTGATTTAATCATCAGAAACTCAAAATGTTATGTTATCTGAACCACATAAATTATTTAAGTTGATTTGACAAAAGTCAAATAATTTGGCATTTTTATTTTTTTTTAAAGTAGTGCAAGTATAAATTAAATAAGACATAAGAGTATAAAAACTTTATGTTTACTTTAATTATAGTATGTCCAAAATAATAATTTGGATATATATTGATAAAAAATATTAAAGTATGATATATTACACTCTTAAAAATAAAGGTTCCAAAATAGGGGTCATAGAAGAACCATTTTTGGTTGAATCATTCTAAAAATAGCCATTTTTTGAACAAACTAAAGAACCTTTTTCCACTATAAGTAAACTTTTGTGGAACAGAGTGGTACTTTATGGAGCCAATGATGCCAATAAAGAACCATTATTACATTCAATTTACCAGAATGATTATTTATCTTACACAAACCTTTCCCAAAGTGACACTAGGTGGAATGAGCAGCCAAATAATCTCAAAATAGCTAAATATTAGCTGATTTTCACAACTTCTAAGCCATGTATTTATTACAAACAACATTATTCTATTGCAACTCCCAGAGAAGAACACAAACAGAAGAGCTTAACTAGAAGTGTGTTTTGTAGATTGTAAACGTGTCCTTCAATGTCTGAAACCAAGAGGATGGACAAGTGGATGCTCACAAAGCATTCACAAACAAACATTCACACAGATTGCAAACACACGAGCAGACAATGGCTTTCAATGAACAAGACCCAGTACAAACATTCCAAACGATAACCCAGTACCAGTCAAGGTGACCCAAACATCAGAGCTCTGTCATGACCATGCAATGTATGTGAGAGAACATTCCAGAAGATCCAACAATCGGGTCCTCTTCCTCTTTTTTTGACCCTGTACTGTCTTCTGGCTCTCCTCCTTGTTAGCTTCAAATAACAGTGCTAAATACCAGCAGGACATACCACCTGACACCTTGACCTTTCAACTCTCACCTTTACTGTCGCACAAAGATGCCCTTGTTTTGAGTGAGAAGGACAATTTAAAGCAGCACAGAATGAAGCGGAGGATGAAGACGAAGAAAAGGTTCAATTCAATTGAGAAGACATTTCTGAATGTATCAAACAACTGTGACAACAAACCGCAAAGAAATTCACCATCAAAAGATGCAAAAGACATGAAGATAAATCCATCATGTCGTCTGAATCTGTCTCGTTTTCTCTTCCCGCAACCCGCAATAGTTAGGCGTGCATGTACAGGCCTGTCTAGAGGTTATAATTTAGATCATGGCTCTCTATATTTATGATTTATTTATAATACACAGACAACTATGCCATCCTTCCAACTTCTGGCATAATATGGGGTTACAGAGACCTATATATCAAACGAGCTTCAGAGATTGCCAAGTGTGCTAGTGTGGTTGATTTTTCTTGATCTTGATTAAAGGTTTTAAAAACAACCTGAAACAAGTGCATTAGCCTGCTGAAATCCAAACTCAAATTACTGATAAATATAGTGCTTATATGACATAAACCATATGATATTTTTAAGACGATTAGAGAACAAACAAACTGTAAGAAACCTCTTAACAACAGGCCGGTATATTTGTGTCGTCTATATGATGTGTCTATTCAATTGTAGTGTAGAAAGCATTTCAATTCAATTACAAAAATGCATATGGCCATATTTTCAAAAGGTTCTTTGCTATTTAATTTGATAAATGTTATTCTCATGCCCAAGAGATTGAGGGCCCCTTGGAAGTCTGGTAAGAACTGCATTAGGACATAAACTGTCTTCAACAAAGGCCATGAATTGCTTATACGTTCTAAGTCTGAGTCTGTGTGGTTCAGTATGAGTCAGTGTGGACGCCTCTGCTTGGCACTGCCAGGATGGATAAACTGACCACACGGCCACTATATTAAACATCATGTAAACTAGAAAAGAATGAGCTTCCCACAGCTACTGTATACACCCTTCAATGTAAACCAATGCATTTACTACCCAGAGAAAATGAATCAACTTTTTAAAAGAGAAAAATAATTACTCGGACTAAGGTAATATGGTTAAAGCGAAGTTTTGGAAACTTTTTGAATTAGTCTAAAAAAGTTATTATTGACAAATAGTTTGGTCATCTTCATAATCATTTGTGATCCTAAGCACACAAGTGTGAAAACAGACAACTTTTATTAACTTCAAACTAACGCAACCATAAATCAATCGCAACTACTGACTGTGAGACATAGAAAAGTTGAAACTCCCTTTAATAAAGAGCCAGACTAAAGGATGAGGGTGCTTATTATGTGCTCAGTGAGTCTTTTAGATGTGGTGCTGTTGAGTTGAAAGCGTGTGCATGTGTTGGGCCCTCTTGTGGTGAGTCGTCTGCATTCCAAAAAAGACCATTTTAAACTAACCTTGAAATACAGAAATTTTGACAGGATATAAAACCAGCTGTAACAATCCTAGTAAATACATTTTAATTGGATGTTTTCATTCCAGAATAACTATCTGCATAATACAACGAAACATGTCTGCAAAGGCGATCATGTCATCTAATTAAGGTATTAATGGCTTACATCATTGTGCCAACTTTCTATGAGCCAAAAAAAGAACGCTTGTTTGGACTGAACCTAGAAGACAGGATGACTGAAACATAGCAAAGCGCCGCTTCTTTAACCAGAGGAACTGTATTGTTGTCAACAGAGCGTTTGTGGAAGTGTGAGGCTTCTGAGGCCTTGTTGTGGTTAAAGTTTGGAAAGGATCTTACAGCTAGATGACTAGGATTAGTTTTGTTTGTTAGTTATGGGAAAATGATTATTAATAAATAAATAAAATGCAAAGGGAGAAAGGCATAAGTCTGGTCACCAAAACTAACAGCCCAGCAATTAATTTGAGGTATCATGCATGCACTAACATGACAAGTTAGTTTAACAAAATGGTAACAGTGACCCAATTGTGCCCTTTCCATACATAAATAACAAATTCAACAAATGAAGAGGACACATTAAGCTTTGGCCTTTATATTCCAAATTTACTTCAGGACAAGGGTAAGTTAGTTGAGTGGGAAGATTAGGAACGAAAGTAACGCTTATTTCACGAAACTGTCAGGAATGATGGACACACCCGTGAGGACAGTCTTTTCTCACGTGCTACGAATATACACACGAATATTCCGGGCATTTCCTTCACACACAGTGGCTCCATTCAGTCCTCAGCACTGCATTTGGTTGAGGGTGTTTTGGTTAACAGAAGTGAGACAGGCTGTTCTTTGAGAGTGCTGCCTTTGAAAAGAGGTTGAAGGAACATCCATGTTAAAAAAATAGTCCCCACCTAAAAATCACGGCGCTCTCAAAAGTCTGCTTTCCCAAATTTAACAGTATGGAACAATGTTGAAGGCTTGAGGACAGCAAAAATAGATGGATTTGGACATAAAAGTACATCCTAAATAGTGGCTTTGGTTTACATAGCCTACTATTTTGGGGCTTTAACAACATGACTTGGTTTTTAATTGGCATTTTTTAAATCACATTTGATTCATCATCAACCAGAAACAGCAGGCTGAGGAATAGCAACTTCCACTGGCCTAAAACTGGCATACTGTTAAAAATTCTTCAGGTGTAACAGATGTGTGCGTTTACACAAATATCACTGAGCTCACACACCCAGACACTAACTCATTCACTACACCTCTCTGAACCACAGGGCAGAATAATAACTCACTCATGCGAGGCACAAATATTCAGACTTCCTTCAAATACACCAGGGAAGAAACGGGGAGAAAAAGTGCGATCAAATCGGCAATCTGGAATTACATCCATGCCCGAGGGACGTTAGGTGCACGCACGCCATCATTCAATGGTTTGATTGATTTTTTTATGTAATTCAAATATACTCACATTAAATCTGAATCAAATCTGTACTCATTTCGGTATTAAACAAACATTATATCTGATAATGTCTACTGCTACTTACTGTACAAAAAACGTCTTTGGAAAAACAGCAGGATCTCAAGCGCCACTCACCCAGTAGTGGTTGACACTATGAAGCGCAACTAAACTATTTGAATATTAATGTGCATATAGTTGGGTGTTGTAAATGAAATACATAACTGACTAAATAAAAATGGGGCTCTTTTAATAAATAAAAAACCCTGAAAATGTGGTTAATAAGGTTAGTGAAAAAGAACAACGACAATCTTATTCGTAAAAATAAAAGTTGAATGTAGTGCGGAACAGGTGTCAAATAGCAGCCTAGATTTAAGGGAAAATGTTTATCAAACTCGACAGGATATTAGGACACCTTCACAAACGTCTTGGAACTTGAAGTGGTCACGTAATAAAAATAATAAATTAACTTGAAATATTTTTTTGAGAAATTATTTTAAAGAGACCCCAAAGAGACAGAATAAAGTGAGTATTCAGAATATATATACAGAAATGGGCTATTTGATACATTCAGAAATGTTCTGAATGCCTAGGAGCATCCCAAGGGACTGCAATTATCCTAAGAAAATTATTATTATTAATCATTATAATTTCTAATAATAATAATAATAATATATTAATATATATATAAAAATAAATATTTTGACATTCACGAATAGCTACGATTAGGCTACACGATTTATTCATTGTTTGCACAAACAACAACAAACGACGCCTCGAGGAGCTGCGCGCTGAAATGAAGTTCGAAGCAGGAGGTGAAACCCTGTCAGTGAAGCACAAGCACCGTCCTATCCTCTGCCCCCGCCGGGATGCCACACTACAGGTGTGCCAACGAGGCCTGGAGAAACTCATGGGCCTATTTGTGTGTATATTTCAACTCTTGACAAATTCTGACAAGATAAATGAGGGGACACGAACCAACGAAACCCAATGTCAGCTCACCAAAGTGGACAACATCCACAAGGATATCTAGACTATCAACAAAATTAAAAGTAGGCTACAACACAACTGAGAACTGAGCCACCTACTTTAGAAAAACATAGACGCATCCACAGCAAGTCACCTAATCTCACCGTTTTGCCCATGGTGCGTAAAAGCGCATCAACACCAAATTCTCTATTGAGGTATAATAACCTGTTCATAAATCATGTCAAATCCCATAAACATCCCAGAAAGCAAAACGCTCACCTGCTTGTGCCAAAGTAAGGCACAGGAGGAGCACGAACGATGTCTCCATGCACCACGGCCTCCGCTTCTTCCGAATATCCATAGTTCCCAAGTTTTTTGACCGGTTTGACTACAAGGCAGGACAGTTTCAAAATTAGCGTTTCGTTCTTTCTCCCTCAGTAACTTTTTAGGGAGCCTGTAACTTGGTGCGCCTTTAGAGACGCACACCCACCTTGTTCTTCAATAAGTTATCTGTGTTATGTACAAAACTTAAATATAAAGAAGGGAACGGGTAATAAATATGCAGTTTTACAGCTTGAAACTCCTAATGTTAGAGCCCCATTGAGTCCGAGTGAACAGAAAAGCGGAGAGAGCAGAGAGAGACTTCAAATCACTCTCTCTCAATCTCTCTCTTTCTCTCTCCCTCTTCTTACTTTCTCCCACGAAATGCGAGGGAGCGTGTGTGTGTGTGTGTGTGTGTGTGTGTGTGTGGAGAGAGAGAGTGAATGAGAGGGTAGAGAGTAAAAAAGAGGGAGGGAAAGTAATGCATACGGGCTTCTGCGGCTTTCTACACGATCGTTAGCCTACTTGTCGACAGACGTGCATTTCAAGAAATCATCAAGGATCTATATATGGCCCAAAATATCTACATTCATCAAATGAGTTGTTTTATGTTGACGTGCCAGCGATTGGCATGTAGATCAGTAATTGCATTTCTCTCTATTTATTTCTGTTAGACAGCTGGACCATGTAGGACCGATGGGTCCGTAGGCATGAAGAATTTCGGCAGCCAATCAGATCCTTATCCGCTCGTGACGTCACCCATCTTTCCTGCCCTTTTCATGGCTAGTTGATCAGTCAAATGACCACGCACGCAGGTACGAAACGAAATGAACGTTTAGCCTTGTCAGCAAAACTTTTTTTTTCTCTTTAAAAAAAAGTTTATTGTATGCAAATTATGAATGACTTTCAGTCTACTTGTAGGCTAATTTATGGCACGCAATTTGGTTCGTCTCGCACAACCTGGAACAAAAAGCAGATTTTTGTAATATCCTACATGTATGACGTCTATAATAAAGTGATATGACAGTTGTTTTGGCGACGTATTGTCCCATTCTGATTAGTTGTTTTATCCAAATTCATTTCTGTTTTTCACAGATGTCAAAAGTGGATCAAATTACAAGAATTTGTAGTAGCCTAAATAATATAGTATTTGACTGAGCTTTAAATAGTTCATAAAAGTAGGCCTATCTAGCTACAGTAATAGAAGTAGTTAAGTTAACCCTTAAGATTATACTTTAGTGACATGAGCCAGAAAGCAATGAGTGTAATCATGTGCTCTTTCTCTCTCTTTCTCTCTCTCTCTCTCTCTCTCTCTCTCTCTCTCTCTCTCTCTCTCTCTCTCTCTCTCTCTCTCTCTCTCTCTCTCTCGCTCTCTGTCTCTCTCTCTCTCTCTCTCTCTCTCTCTCTCTCTCTCTCTCTCTCTCTCTCTCTCTCTCTCAAGAAAGATACAGTAACTGCAGTTCTTCAAAGTAAGGGAGAAAAAAGGAAAACCAGTCATTTATTTAGGTTACGCCTGTGCTCTGTCCAAGGATATTTATAAGCGCTTTTGCTTTTAAAGAAACAACCCAAATATATATATATACATATATATATACACACGAGTTTGAGGTTCCTCAAATGAATAGAAGTTTTATTTTTTGAATGGTTGCCATTGATTGGTAATAAAATACCATACTGTCAGCAGCCACTAATCACAATATGACCTGCACTTTGTTCTTTTATGAATATTAAAACTCCAACACTATTAAGAGCTGACGAGAGCTTTTCCCCTGCAGGGATATTCAAATTTTCAGTGTAAAAAAAAAGTGATTCAAATCAGTGCTTCTTATTTCCTGTGGCCCATTATGGTCTAAGGGAGACAATCCGTAAACAATCATGGCATGTGTTTTTGTAAGGCCGTTTTTGTCTGGCTGGTGCACTCTAGCGTTTCTATAATAAAACATTATAATCATATGCTTTACATCTGTGGTGTTCCCATTGACACAGAGAGGCCTGAGGAGAATGTGAGAAAGAATAAAGGTATTTTTAAAAATGTGAGAAAAGATTATTGAAGTTTACACACAGCCAAAAATAAAATAAAAAGTAATTGTTTGGATTTAAATATGAAAATACTTAGAGTCTATGATTGGATCATTATTGCTGTGATTTTTTTTGTTAGCATATGTTTTACATGGTGTGATTTATATGGTGTGAGGGTAGCTTTTCATTCTAATCATGGCCATATTCCAGGATGACAATATCAAGATTCATTAGGCTTAAATTGTGAAAGAATGGTCGGCAGGGAACATAAAGAATATTTTTCCCATAAATTTGTACCTCTGAATCCAGATCTTAAATTCATTGAAAGTCTTTGGGATGTGCTAGAGGAGACTTTGCTGGACTCTTGCATTGTCAATACAAGCTCTTGACCAAAAATGTATGCACTCTTGATGGAAATAAATGTTGTGATGTTATTTAAAGTGGTGCATACATTTTTGGTGTATCAATTTATATATGCACAAATACAATCAATAACAAGAATAAAATAAATAATGAATAAGAAAATCCCACAGTCTTATTCCAGTTTTGGAATAGCAAATCACAGCACTTTTATAAAGTGCTATAATCTTCTAAATTATTGCTTTCCCCCCCAAAATTAGCACTGATGCTAAACTTAACTGCTAGGGATAAAATGAGCAAAAATAGCTTTATCATGAACAGCATTTAAAAAAAGGAAATCTGTAAACTGTCAAATATGTAAATGCAACTAAAACAATTGAATTAAAATGCCGCCCACTTAGTCTGTCTGAAAGCATGGTTGAGGATGTGAACATTAAGACATTGAGAAGTTGACGTACAGGTGAACACGGACCTTGAGAAGATTTAAATACAGCTGGGGTTTGAAATGGCCTGAGACCAGTTTACATCCAGAACAACACTGAAGCTCAAACACTGCAAAGTACCTTGAGAACATTATAAACAGACGACTGACATAATGTCTTGGCACACGTGCAAACCATGTACAAGGCAAAACCGATAAAACGTAGGCTATTATTAGAAAGAAAAAGGTAAAAAGCCACTGGGACTTTGAGAGAAGTCCTCAAGACAGATGTTTTCCACCTTGAGTCAGTTCAGCTGTTCAGATTAATACAGCCTACTAATTTGTCCAGTAATTTCAGGGTTTTGACGATAGGCCACTGGCCATGCGGTTGTGTAGGTTTTGGTTGGCCACCCATGCTAACAGATTTTATGACAACATCTTCGCTGCGAGTGTGAGAAAATGAATTATCTGCCGATAGGGCTACGTGCCGGGCACAAACCAGTTCAATGGGGGGCACACGAAAGCAAAGCTCAAGTTTTCCTTGGAGACAGACACGGCAAGTGCTTGTGGACAGCCTGGTTATTTCCAAAACGGGGACCTTGTAATTACAATAAAGCGACCAGATTATATTGCAGACTTCCTTAAAAAGTCTGTATTTTACTGGGCAGGGCTGCAAACCACGCACACACACCCTAGCCCACTACAACACACCAAAATAGATCGGAGAAGGGGGGAAGGAAATAGATTGGCATGTGTATATTTGTGTATGTGTGAGGAAATGGACTGGGTTGGTAGAGGGTTACAGCAGGAGCATTGAGAATAATTGGCTATGTATGTACCTCTGTATTACGCTATACAGAGATCCCAGTAGACCCAGATATAAGAGCACAAAATGAGAGAGGGCTAGAGAGAATGGATCAGTGATTTTGGAAACCGGCCTCATATACGCCCCAGATTAGGCTGTGAAATGGGAAGGGCGAGACTGAAGAAAGCCAACGTTTGCTGGCTTAATGTTTGCTGTGCCAGCTTGTATATGAGAGCACATGGCTATCAAACCATCAGCTATGCTAGTAAGAGTTTAAAGCACCAACAAATAAATGTTTGTTTGCTTGTTGCACAGATTATTATACTATGTGCGAACATGTGAACACTCACTTTTTCTGATTTTCTAAATGTGGCTGCCTGAAAGCGCCTCATTTAGCACAATTATGTATCATTAAGCAAATATTCTTTTACAACTTCACTGTCACGGTAATGGGACTATTAAACAATATTAAATGGCTACTTACAGAAGAAGAATGAAACATACATTGAGAGTTCATGTAATGGAAATTCCAGAATAGAATTTCTTCTAAAATAAACTCACCTCAGATTTGAAAACTCAGATTGAAACTTCACTGAAATAAAATAACTCATATTTTGTTGCTGTTATCAAAAAGCCATTCATAAATATTAATATATAATGTTCACAATGGTTATTTTTGCTGGCACAGATTAATGCTACTTATCACACTCTAAAAAATGCTGTTTCAACCCAATTTTGGGTCAGACATGGACAAACCCAAAGTTAAAAATGTAATTTAATTTAACCCAATGGCTGGGTTTGTCCATATTTGACCCAAAGTTGGGTTGAAACAACCCAGCATTTTTTTTTTGGAGCATAGCTTAATGACCAGTGTCATAGAACTAACTACAGGTGAAACAAACAAGTGTGGGAGAATGACTGAGAAGAGAAAGACAGAAAATGACTATGGAAAAAGATGATGTGAGAAGAGAGAGAACAGGTACTTAACTATTTGAGAAGTCACGGAAAACTTCACGGAGGGAAAAAAAATTCATTGGAATGAATAGGGATGGTGAGGGGGTCCGATGGCATGTAGCAGGAGAGAGGGAATGAATGAGGCCTATTGATGGAGAGAGAGAGGGATCAAACAGTATTTACCCAGAGAGAGAGAGAGAGAGAGAGAGAGAGAGAGAGGGGTGGAATTGAGAGAGTCATGCAGGAGGTTGATTCATATGACCCACTGACTGAAGTGGAAATTTGGGGACATACTGATGAGTCAAGGGAGGGGACGGTGATGGAGAGGACACAGAGAGAGAAAGGATGTCATGAAAATTTCCTGGATGAAAAACCAAATTGCAAATTGCATTACAAAATCTCACTTGAAACATGGCCGTGAAAGAAGAACATTGTCTTGTATCTAAAGAAGTAAACAATTAACATAAAACAATTATATAATAATGTAAATAACAAATGTAACGGGAAAAAATTATTATCATATTATAAGAATATCCTGTAAGTTTCAGAACTGAGAACGACCCCTGCAGAAGAAGATTAACGCCTACTTCAACACGGCCGGTTTAGCCCCGCCCACCGATTCGCGCATTACACGCATAGTTAAATAACATAGATGCCTACCTCGTGATGACAAATCGGATAGAGCTGCCGAGCAATACAGAATATTGTGCAGTGCCTGGTTGTGGAAGAAGAAAGTC